CACAGCAGATTCTTGGGAAGTCAATCTGTCTACTGCCCTTATTGCTTTCGTCACCTCATTTTAGGAAGACTACATGAACCTTTTTAGAGCTTTCTGACTTTTATTCAAACTACAATGTAGCTTAGTCCTTCTAATTCTGTATCTAACAGAGATGAAGAATATGTGCTCCATAATCCTCTAAGAAAACTTCTTCAGACACATGAATGTTCTTCTCAACTCTCCTTCAACCATTTCTTCTCATGATAAATAACTTCATTCTCTTAATCACCCTCCACTACCATCATAGCAAGCTCAAACTTTCCAATATTTTGCATGATCTTAAGGATCTCTTGCAAATTCTCCATGTTCCCTTTAAATTGTAAAAATCAAAGACAATTAAGCTTCTCCAGCAAAGATCTGGCATAGGACAGAGTTAAGAGGATTAAGTTATAGTTTACATGGTAAATTTCTATATTTTTAGCTTGTGTATCTACTCTGAACTCTAGATCTTTTTCTTCTATAATACAGAAAATCAGTTCTTTTATATTTTATATTATAGTAGTTAATTTTTCTCTCAGGTTGACTGCTTTGCAAGTGCCCATATATAACTAGAACTGTACTTAATTCATTTTTAGTTTTGGCAATCACAGAAGAAATTATTGAGCAACACAAGATCTCGTGATAATGCCTATATAAAACCATTAATTACCATAGATTCATTGCAAATTGGTACTGACCCCAACTCTCTGGGCTACTGTAAACACTTCTAATAAATTCTAGGCCAAAAAAAAAATTTAGGCCTAGAGACACTACCCTTTCAGACTGACATGTCAAGTTTTATTTGCTTTTTGTAGGATGGGGAAGAGGAAGGCAGAGTAGATGCCAAAAGGTCTCCATTATAGCTTCTTTCTGGCCTTCAAGAGTTTCCCTAGAGAGTGTCACCATAGCCACTATCATCCTAACACCTAAAGGCTGCCCTTTAAACCACAATTAACTGATAGTAAATGGAAAATAATGATTAGAACTGATTAAATTAGAAGAGAATGGGAGAGGAATAGGAAAGGTATCAGCAGAGGGAGGGATCCTTTGGCAGGAAGGAAGTAAAGACCACCTTCACCCACCTGACTACTTAGCCTAGTGCTATCTATGACCATGCCATCTAACACTCAAAAATCATTGAACCCTGGGACGAGACCACATTTTTCCCCCTGACTGTAGGTGCCTGGCTTATTTAATTAAACCATTACATTATGAGGTAAAGGTCATATGCTTGATCCCTGTGTGAGTCGACAGACATCAGTTTCATGGTCACAAACTTGTCTTTTAACCCCAACCTCTCAAAAATACCATCATTTATGCTAACAGGATTCATGAGAGAGGATATAAACCAATGATGCAAATCCATGACCATTAGTGAAAAAATAACAAGGAAAACTTGTGAGTCAGTCTGCAGAGCAAATTTCACTTAATGCTCTTGGGCTCCAAGGTCAAACTAGGCTCTGCTACTTACTAGTTCTATGTGTGATCTTGGACAAGTTAATTTTTCAGAACCTTAAAGATAAAACACATAAATAGTCTCAAGAAGAGCTTGAGATAGAAGGGATTCTCAGGTTATGCTAGCCCCAGCCCCTTCTGGAGATATGACCTGGTAATCAAGAGCACAGGGATGAAGTCAGGCTCATCTATGCCCCAAATCTGGTTTTGCAGCATACTAGCTGTGAAACACCAGGCCAGTGACAGCCTCATGTTTCTCATAAAGCTGGGATAATGAATCAAAGCATTGAGACAGTACACACAGCAAATGTTAGTAAATGGTAATTCTTTTTTAACTGTTAAAAAGATGAGATTTTATCATCATTATCTGGTCATCAATGTTTTTCAAAGTATGATCACTACAGACAACACAATGACCTGGAATGTCGGCTGAAAAAATAAAGATACCATGTCCCACCCCACCCTCTTCAAAAAAAGCTCTCCAAGAATGATACCAAGTAATGTCCATTTCTGAATCAAACTTCCTTGAGATGCATATGAAAATTTAAAAAGTATTGATCCAGCAAGTCTTGTGTTATGTCACAGTAAATTAACACTTGTCTTCCAATACTTATTTTTTACTATGTCAGGGGAATTACCCAGTATGTGGTGTTTTGTTTGTTTGCTTTTCTATTTTGATGCTTTTCTAGACGTAGACATTAAACTGATAGGCTTAATTTTTTAGGTTCACTCTTGTTTTTCTTTTCCCCAATGGTACTATTTTGACTTGGTTTTTTTCTCCTCTGACCAGGGGTCAGCAAACTATGGTCTTGGTCTGTGACTAGTTTTGTACAACCCCAACCCCCCAGAGGGGGTAAGTGTTTAAAGTGTCGTTAAAAAATAAATAAAATGGGCCGGCCCAGCGGCGCACTGGAGAGTGCGCCGCTTGGGAGCGCGGCGGCGCTCCCGCTGAGGGTTCAGATCCCATGTGGAGACCGGTTCCCGCTCACTGGCTGAGCGCGGTGTGGGCGCAACACTGAGGGTTGCGATCCCGTTGCCAGTCCCCGGTACGGGCGCGACACTGAGAGTTGCGATCCCGTTACCGGTCAGTAAAAAAGACAAAAAAGGAAAAAAAAAGGGTTGCGATCCCGTTGCCAGTCCCCGGTACGGGCGCGACACTGAGAGTTGCGATCCCGTTACCGGTCAGTAAAAAAGACAAAAAGGAAAAAATAAATAAATAAATAAAATAATAATAAGATGCAATGAGAACATATGTTTCCCACAAAGTCTGGAATATTTACAATCTGGCCCTTTACAAAAAAGTTTGCCTACCATTTTGTGGCCTATAATCGTTTTTACACTGTTGGTCTCAACACTTCTTTTTTTTTTTAAAAAAAAGAGACAGACTTGATTAAAATAGAAAATATCAAAAAACACCGCACCTGGCAGAAGCATTGTTGTCAAAGTTTCAGTTATACATATGTGAGGGAACTTCAAAAAGTTTGTGGAAAAATAGAATTAAAAGGTAATATGGATCTTTCCATGAGCTTTCTGAGGTACCATCATATACATATGTGTCTACTGGATAATGATCAAATTCTATTTGGTAGCAGTCAAAAAGTTTTAAAGTCCTTGGGGTTAGGGCTGGAGAATAAATAGTGCAACTGGTTAAAACTCATGTTGAGTGATTTTTACAGTAAAGGTGTCCTGTAGGATATAAAATGAAAGCCATATAAAACAACCTCTGCTGTTTAGAAGTTAGCAGCTTATTTCTTCATTGCAAAATGAAAATTAAATCTCTTCTGTACACAACATACATTGTTCTAAGAAGAAAATGGAATCATCAGGCAAAGTACTTCAGAAGCATTATACAAACAAAATAAACAAAATATTTTAGTTACATTAACAACATATTATACCAAACTTATATAGGTTCATTACCAAGTCCCTTAGTTTCTAGCTCCCTTCAATCTGGGAAACGAGTCCTTTGTGTGTGTCCATGTACATGTGTACATGTGTGTATGTGTATTTTGGCAGCATAAGAAAAATATTACATGTCTCTGCCCTTCTCTGTCATCCACTATTGGCTTCTCCTCATCTATTTAAAATGTTTTCATCTTTTTTTTGTTTCTAGTAAGAAAAGCATTTGACTAAATTCTTTTTTTTCTTGCATTTGACTAAATTCTATGCAAAAAAGAACAATTAAGACTATGATTATCCTATCCTGAGAAACACTAAAAATTCCAAAATTAAAATTCTAAGTAAAATGTTCCCTTTTATATTCATAGACCACTAATTTACAGGGTTTTGTGATTGTTTTGGACAAGCTAAAAATATAGTAATCTCATAACCCATTTCAACATGTATTTCTATAGTAAAAAGAAATACCTTCCTAGGAAGGTACACAAGAAAATGACACTTTAAAATGTTTTCTTTGTATGAAATGCAATGCGGACACACTAACCACAAGCCGTGTAAATAAATAAAAACCGGTGCAATTTGCATGCACGTTTACCTCACACCACAAAGAGAAAACACTTGAACATTTGCACACCATGGTATTTTAGCTTAGGATGCCATAAAAACGGGATTTAGGCATGTTGTGTAAAGACAGGAGGCTGTAAATGTGCTTGTCTGTCTGCCTGTGTTCCAGAAAGAGGGTTGTAAGCAAAATGGGTGGGACTTGCCAGGAGCAGCTATTTGAGAAAATTCCTTTTTCTTTCCCATTCATTCTTTCTAGCTTCAGTGTCTGGCACAGTCCTTACAATTACTCACTGACTTTTCATTCTAAAGATAACCAACAAGCTTTCAGAACTTCCTACAGTGTTTTTCACACACACTTTTTTAAAAAGCACCAAATCATTCAATATGTGGTTTATATAAAAAGCAAATCATTAGCCCGCTTCCTCGTTCCAAAGATCCCGTGGGTTTCAGGCTAAATAGAATCCTTTGTTGTGTGCCCCAAAATAACACAACACGGTATAGGTAAATTGGAAAATAATAGATTATTCTGTTTCCAAGAATGTCAGAGCAATTACCATAAATTTTGTTTTGCCCCCAGGGAGTCCAATTTCATGCTCCTTTTAGTGTATCTACCGTCCTAACAGCAAAGCCAATCAAATTTAACACCCTTCGCCTCTCTTTGGACATTTCATTAATAAACATAAGGGGCTGAAAGAGGACGCCAAGTGGGCCAGTTTCCTTTATGCACAATGGTATTTTCCAAGCGAAATGATCTCCAACCCCAGTGAAAGTTGTCTCTGTAGCAGATGCCCACCCCAAACCCGCCCAGGAGGGGGCAGATGGGCAGAGGGAACCGTAACCTTTCAGGTCTCCCACCTCCAGAGAAGGGGAAGGGGGAGGGTGTGACAAGAGAGCAGAGTAGGAAGGTAGGTAGGCGAGTGGGAGACAGAAATGGATGCTGAGGGGGTGGGGGAGATGGGAAGGTAGGGTAGGTGGAGAACGCGGGGAGAGGTGGGTGAGCGACGCTGCAGGATTCAAGAGCAAAGCGGGACCAGTGGTGGGCAGCGAGGGGGTCCGGTCCTCACCGTTGAACGCCCCAGGGTCCGCGGCCGCCTCCTCATCCTCCTCCTCCCCGTTCTCGGAATCGGAGTGCACGGTCTCCTCGGCGAAGTTGACCCCCTTGCTGGGGGTGCCGCCCCCAGCGGCGGCGCCCGCGTCCCCCCAGGTCCTGCCCTCAGAGCTGAAGCGCCCGACGCCTTTGCGCTGGTTCTCCTGCTGCAAGCGCGTGAAGTGCTGCAGCGCGAACTCCAGCAGGTCGGCGGGCTGGTGCCTCAGCACCTCCACCGTGAAGCCCTGCAGCAGCTCCGTCAGTCCCGCCGGGATCTCGATGCTCATCCTGCCTCCGACGCGGCGGGCGCCCGGGCGCCGCCCTCGCCCCCTGCCCGGTCCGGCCTCAGGCCCGGCGGCCG